TCTTCTTCTTCTTCTTCTTCTTCTTCTTCTTCTTCTTCTTCTTCTTCCTCTTCTTCTTCTTCTCACTACTCTGGTCTTAAACACACAATATGTCCATCTGTTTCTCCCAAGACATTTTACTTTGCTTGGCTGGACACAAACTCACAGAATATCACTTCAAACATCCTGAGTCTCAACACACTTTAAGCTTGGGAAGAAATTGACACACAACCCCAGCATCCCCCAAAATAAGAACATGAATAAAATATTCTTGTAAGAAATCAGTAATAGAAAATAAGGTTTCCCTGGGTTCCAGGAGCCATCTGGGAGATTACTGACTGTGGAGACGAGCCGGTGGGAACCTCTGGCTTGTAGCCAGGTTAGGCAGAAGGCGGCCAGCTTATTGGGAGGGCTGAAGAACTGGAGAAGTGGTCGCTACAAGAACCTTTCTAGAGGTGGGTGGTGTCAGAACTGAGTTCAGGTCAGTGTCCTGAGAGGACTGGAGAAACGGTTGCCAGTCTTCCCTGACCCTTGAGTCTTTTAGCCAACTCTGCAGCCAGTTCTGTGAGCCCATGCTGGGCATGGCTCCTAGACCAAGGCTCCCATGTCTGGCCTCTGAGGAGGAGTTTCTACACCTTCCACCCACCTGTAAAAGTGCATACACTTGCACCTGGGAGGGCAAAGTCCAGAGTTTTCATGGAATCTGTACTCTGATAAAGACCAAAGTTACCTTCCTGGGCAAAGTTCTCATGACAATTGCTCATAAGCCCTTGATCTTTCTGCCCTGCTCCTTTTGCCCTGTTCGTTTTTTCTTGCACGCTTTTCCTGAACCCTCATCTCTAGTTGGTGAGACCTTACACACACACACAACTAAAAGGAGCAGGAGAGACACTCAGTGGGTAAAGCATGAGGATCTGAGTTTGAATTTCCAGTCCCTACACAAAGTTGGCTTGGCAGTGTGGATCTAGGTAAAAATGAAGGCAGAGACAGGAAATTTGAGGTCCAGCTAGCCTGGTGTACATGGTGGCAAAACAGAAAGTTTCGGTGTAAGGACTGATACCCAAGGTTGTCCTCTGACTTCCACACACATGTATGTGTGCACCAGGACTCACACATCTGGGTTCATACACATAAAGACTAAAAACAAAACAACAAAGAACACCTCACGTCTCATGAATATGCATATGCCACACACACACACACACACACACACACACACACCACGTCACACTCCACATTCACATCACATACGCTTCACATGGACACACAGATCACACACAGCATCCACACAACACACACATCACACACGAACACCACACGGCTCTCCCCACAGAAATCGTGCACCATGCAATGAAATGGTGTACTGTGGTGGCCATGTGACCTCTACTAGCCAATCACAGGGTCCTGCTCCCTGAGTCTGAGCTCTGGTGGCAGGAGAAAGGCACATAACTCAAGTGAAGAGCCACCTCTGATCCCTGCACCCAAGAAGTGGAAGTGGGTGGATTAGGATCCTTGTTGGCACAGCAAATTCAAGGCCAGCCTGGACTGCATAAAACCCTGTCTCAAAACAAGACAATATCACCTGCCTTGTAGGGAATTAACGAACTTGAACAGGATGTTTACGCGGCGTTCGGAGCCTTCCCTGGCCCACGCTCAGCAAATGTTTGTCATAACTGCTGATCCCTTCCAAGAACTTGGTGAGACTGTGTGTTCCTTTCTGGAACTCAGAAACACGGGTGGGGGTGGGGAGTGCGGCAAGGGGGGAGCCGTGCCTCCTTTTTAACCGGGATGGTGGATGGGCACTGGCGGGAGAGTCGGTAAACAGTTCCCAGAAAAGGAAGAAGGCTTTGCAGACAGAACAATCAGTGTCCACTTCCAGGGAGGAGTGTTCGTTCATGCTACCAGCCAACCATTCTGTACCAAGGGCTTTTTCTGTTCAAGGTATTGTGGGAGAGCTGGGGGGGGGGGGGCAGGGTGTGGAGAGGTCAGCGTCTCTAACCACAGCGTACAATGGAGAGGCAGGGGCAATAACTCACAAGTAAGAGAGCATCCCAGACGGGACACAGCAAGATTAATCATCTACCGAGGCAGTGGGGGAAGTTTCACAATGGATCCAGAGGTGATAAATTCATCTGAGGTCAAGAGACTGGGAAGGCTGCCAGGGAGATGGCTCAGCAGGTAATGGTGATTGCTGACACCTTGAGTCCAGTCCCTCAAGCAGAGCAACCATGGTGGAAGGAAAGAACCGACCCTCACAGGTGGTCTTCTGACGGCCGCAAGGACACCATAGGATCTTTGTGCCTGTGCTCACACGCATTCATATGTATACGGGTGTGCGTGTATGTACAGGCTGGGATGCACAGGTGTGTAGAGGCCAGCAGTTCATGTGTCTTCTTTGATCACTTTCCATGTTATGGATTGAGCTGCGTTCTTTCCGTGAACCCGGAGCTTGCTGCGCCCCTAGTCTAAGCTAGCAAGATTATTCTGGGGATCCCATCCCTGGCTCCCTGACACTGGAATTACGGACAGACTGTCCCATCCTAGCATCCTCCCAGCCCTGCCAAATAGATAATTTTGTTAACATTTATGTATTGATGAAGGAATATATATATATACATATATATATATATACATATATATATGTGTGTGTATGTATATGTATGTATATATGTATGTACGTTACCTGCCACCACAGCGCATGTGTGAAGGTTAGAAGAAACTTCGTAGGGCGCTAGTTCCCTGCTACCCTCTGTGTTTCTGTGTGGGATGGAACTCAGGTTGCCAAGATTGGTCCAAGTGCCTTCACAGACTGAGACGGGCCAGAAGCGTGGTTTCCGGGAGGCAACACTCCTGGGAGGTACAGCCTTTAGGAAGTGGGGCCTGGTGAGGAGTTGTATCGCCAGGGCTTCGCCGTGACAGGGCATTCCTGGCTCTCTGTCTTTGCTTTCCCATTACCGTGAGGTGAGCATTCCACCGCTGCGTTCTGTCAGGTGTAGATACGGGCCCCAGTGCACCTGTGGAAGTCAGAGGACCATTTTTTGGGGTGTCATGTCGCTCCTTCCACTGTGGGTTCTGGGGACTGAACTCAGGTTGGCAGACTTGTGTGCCGAGCACTTTGATCTACGGAGCCCTCTGACCTGCCCTCTCTCACCCTTTAATAAGGACTCTTACCCTTCTTCATAGCCTGAGATGACCACCGTCCACCTTCCCCTCTCAGGAGGAAGCATGGCAGATAACTGAGAGGCTTGCCCATCCCACCTCTGACCATCTGGAAGTTCTGCCCTCTTCTGGCCTTTGAGAGTAAGAGCCAGCTGGGTATTCAGGAAAGCCACCCACCACTCTAGCCGCTGTGCTTCTCCTGACCCCCACAGCTCAAGCTACTGGATCCATCGGACCTTACTGCTGATCACAGGCTTTGGAGGGTGTCCTAGCTGCTGACCTCACTCCTGGTGCCACCTTCCGCCTTGTTCTATTGCTGGGAAGAGACTCCATAGCCACGGCAAAGCTCTAGAAAGAAAGCATTTACTTGTGGGCTTGCTTACCATCTTGGGGCCTTCGTCCACCATAATCGTGACAGGGAGTGCAGCAGCAGGGACCATGGTGGCATGCAAGCGTGGTGCTGGAGAAGTTGATGAGAGCTGCATCCTGATCTGTGGGCTGAGAGAGAGAGAGGGAGAGAGAGACAGTGGGCCTGATATGGGGTTTTAAAATCTCAAAGCCCACAGGCGGTGACACGCTTCCTCTAACAAGGCCACGCCCACTCCAGCAAGACCACACCCCCTAATCTTTCTCAAATAGCTACTCCCTGATGACGAAGCATTCAAATATATGAGCCTATGGGGGGGGGCCATTATTCAAACTACCACAGGGGAGAAAGAACTGGAGGGAAATTCATGATTCTCCAGCCATATGTCAAATGGTGCAAGGATTGATTACGTGTACATACGTGTATAATGTATGAGTTGCATGTATGTAAGTGTGTGTGAAGGCTGGAGGAAAAGCTCAGGTATCTTCCCCCGGAACCATCCCCCTTGTTTCCTTGAGACAGTGTCTCCCTGGGACCTGAGCTCCATGATTAGGCTCAGCTGGCTGTGCAGCAAGCCCCAGCAACCTGCTTGTTCCTGTCTCCAGGGTTATATACAGGCACAACCACACCCAGCTTTTGACATGGGCGCTGGGATCCAGACTCTGGTTTTTATGCTAACCAAACTGTCTCCCCGAACCCTAAAATTGTTTTTAAAAATTAACTATGTTCCTCGCTTGTGTCTCAGAGGCGCTTGCTTGCCCCGTCACACCTGCTGGGGGGGGGGCAGAGGACAAGTTGCAGGACAAGGTTCTGTCCTTCCACCAAGATTGAACTCAGGTCGTCCAGCTTGATAAGAAATACCTCTACCCTCTGGGTCGTCAGGCAGGCACGACTCACTTCTGTAAAAAGGGCGAGAATTTCATTAAACTGCAGAGGAGAAAGCACTTAGGTGGTTGGGTTTTTTTAATTTATTGTTTTCCCCTAGTAACCAGGCATCCAGAACCAATTATTACTAATTTGAATTGAGAAAAATATCACTCTAACAATAACAAAAGAACAATCCAATTTAAAAAAAAAAATGGACAAAGGACTCGAAGACAGTTTCTCCAAAGAGTCTATACGAATGAAGACTGAGCAGATGAGAGTATGCCCGGTACCACTAACCATCAGGCGTCGAAGCCTGATTCCCACCTATTTGAATTAGTTTTGTTTAAGTAAGGAGGAGAAGAGGAGGAAGACGAGGAGGAGAAAAAAACGAAGCCAGTGTAAGGATGTGGAGAACTGGGTGGCTTGCTGCTGACGAGAACGTGAGACGATGCAGCTGCCGGCGGAAGCAGTTCGGCGGATCTTCAGGACTGCTCTAAGACCCTGCCAGTCCACTCCTCGTTCTATACCCCGAAGGACCGAGAGCCCAGACTCCAACAGTTAGCCCAGCCGTGCTGACAACAGCGGTACCTAACCATCATGGACGAATGATGATGACATCGCAATGTCCGTGGGTCGCCGTAGATGAGCTCAGGTGGTGAGTCCATGCAGGAGAACAGCGTTCGGCCTTCAGGAAGCTGATGCAGCAATCTCAGTGGACTACGATAAGCCAGTCGCAAATTATGGACAAGCGGCATGTAGGTCCCTTTTTAGAAGCTACTTTGACTAGCCAAATTCATAGGCTCCAGAACGGTGTTTGCCAGGCGCTGGAGGCAGGAGAGAATGACTTCTTTATTTTTGTGTGAGTGCATGGGTGTACGTGGAAGCCAGGAGACAAAGTCAGTGTTCGCTAGGAAACGTTTATGTTTATGCGGTTCCTTTAAAATATATTTGCATTTACCTATTATTTGTGTGTGCAGAAAGCACCCTTATCCACTAAGCCATCTCACCATTCCCACGTTTTGGAGACGGAATCCCTCATTGGCCTGGAGCTCACCGATTAGGCCTGAACTAGCTGGCCAGTGAACCCCAGGGACCCTCCTGTCTCGGCCTCCCCAGCATTAGGATTACAGGTGTGCACCACTGACCCAGCCTTTTTACGTGGACTTGAGGCTGGAACTCGGGTCTTCAGGCTTGCACAGCAGGCACTTTATTGTCTGACTCATCCTCCCCGCCCATGAATTAGTATTTAATTGGAGCTTTAATTTAGGGTGATGAATATTCTGAAGGTAGATGGTGGGGGAGGCTGCACACTGGTGTGGATATACTCAGTGTTACCAAACTGTACACTTAAAGTGGTCAAGGTGAGCCAGGTGGTGGCGCACGCCTTTAATCCCAGCATTCGGAGGGGAGAGGCACGTGGGTCTCAGAGTTGGAGGCCAGCCTGGTCTACAGAGTGAGTTCTAGGGCAGCCAGAGCTATAAAGAGAAATCCTGTCTTGAAAAACCAAGCACACACATAAACACACACACACACACACACACACACACACACACAGACACTCACCACAAACAAAACAAGCTGGGCATGGTAGTACTCAGGGAGGCAGAGGCAGGTGGATCACTGTGAGGTCAGCCTGGTCTTCAAATGGAGTCCAAGACAATCAAGGCTGTCCCAAGAAACCCCAACAACAACAACAAAAGCAAAGCAACCAACTAAACAAAACAAAGCAAAAAAACCCAAAAGTCAAAGTAGCAAAGTATACATTTTACTACAATTAAAAAAAAAAACAAAAAAACCTGAGACAAAAATGAAGGAGGCAGGAAAGTTGGTTCATCGGATAGAGGAGCTTGCCACACAGCCTGATGACCAAAGTTTGATCCCCAGAACCCACTGTGAAAAGAGAACCAACTACTGAAAGTTGTCCTCAAGACCTCCACACACGAACATACATAGACACACACACACACACACACAATGATAAAATTGCTAACATGATGGGCAAAGCGAAAGGTAACTGGTAGTCCTGTGGCATGGTGCTCTTGCTGCCGAAGGCCCTGTGCAGAAGGCCTTCTGAGTGGTCTTTTGCATCTGTGCGCTACTGGGAGGTCCTACGTAAGCTTGGCTGTGGAATTCCTCTACCACGGAGAGTTTTAAGAAGGTCCTTACAGTTGGAGAGATGTTCGTTCCCTGGGGAGAGTTACAGAAGCAATGTACAAAGTTCTCTGGGTTCTGGGGGACGGCTTGTTAGGTCCCTGAGATAGACTGAGCTGGTAGATGGGCGACGTGAAAAAGAAGTGAAGAGATCTACTGTATGGTCTTCACCATTCTCCAACTCTCTGCACCTCTCAGTGCCCACCCCAACTCCAGCTTGCCAAGTCCTGAGTGAAGTCCCCCCGATTCGTTCCTTGAACCTTCCAGGTAGCCTTCCTCTGAACCACCCCTGCCCATTGCTACCAACAGTGCCAGCAAGCTGCCCTGTGGCCTAGCCCTGACTTCTGCACTTTGCGTTTGCCTTCAACCCTTCCTCCTCCTCCTCCTCCTCCTCCTCCTCCTCCTCCTCCTCCTCCTCCTCTTCCTCCTCCTCCTCCTCCTCCTCTCTTCCTTTTCTCCTTCTCCTTCTTTTCATACAAAGTCTTACTGATTGTAGCCCAGGCTGACCTTAAACTCACGGTCTCCTGCCTCAGCCTCCTCAGTGCTGGGCTTCTAGGTGTGTGACACAGGGCTGCCCATGTTTGCCCTTACACAGGACGTCTCAGGAGTTGCCCAGGTCCCGGAGGAGGCCAGGGAGATGAGAGTGGGTCCTCTCCACACTGGCAATACAGCTTCCCCCTCTCAGCCTTCCTGCCACCCTCCTCTGTGCCGTCCCGAGCACAGATCCCTCCCCTTCTTCTGCCCTCTCTTCTGTTTACATCTCCACCCACTCACTCTCAGGGCTCAGCATGCTTTGCTTCCATTTTAGTCTCTTCACTGAAGAACAGCCAGAGAGAGAAAGCTCCTGCCTTGGAGTTTCTGAGGTCGCTGCCGTTGTTAGCTGCTGGCTTGGTCCTGTGTCTTCCCAGGAGAGGCCGTCTCACCTGGCTCCCAGTTTCCTTGGAGGTGTAGAGTGGTAGGAAATCTCTCCATAGGCAAGTGGGGAGAGGGAAGCCTGCCCTAGTGGGTGGGAGTTACCCCTCCTTGAATATGCCTTAAGGCTTCTTAAGACTCCTTCTCCTTGACAGGGCTCTTGTAGGCCAGTGTGGCCTTGAGCAACTTTTTGTTTTGTTTGAGACAGGGTTTCTCTGTGTAGTCTTGGCTGTCAGGGCTCGCTTTGTAGACCAGGCTGGTCTCGGACTCACAGAGATCTGCCTGCCTCTGCCTCTCCGAGTGCTGGGATTACAGGCCACTGCACCCGCTCTCTCGCTCTCTCTCTTTTTTTTATGGAATAATTTTTATTTATTCTTCTACAATATCATACGTGTAAGCAAAGTGCCTTGATTGTATGAACCCCAAACTCTCCCTCCCATGTCCCCAGGCACCGCCGGCAGTATGGCCCCCCTTCTCCATGTCTTCTCCTTTTGTGCTGTTAATAACCGGCCTGATTAGTGCTGGCTGTTGGAATGTTCAGATCTTACGATGCAGTGAGCTCATGGGCGCCACAGCCATGTCATGTACCAAAGCCAGCATCTCCCAGCATGCCTCCCTGTCCTCTGGCTCTTACTTCTCTTTCCACCCCCTTTTCACAGTTGAACTCTTTTATCCTCTAAGCTTTCTTATAATTGTGCTGGGTGTGGGTGGGGTTGTGTGGAGGACAACTTTGTGGAGTCCGCTCTCTCTTCCCACGTTTACCTGTGTGGGTTCTGGGGGATCAGACTTGTACCCCTTCTCAGGGCCCTGGCCTTGTGCTCTCGGTCTTCCTGCTTCTGCCTGCCTAGTGCCTGGAGTACACACACTCGTCCCACCAGAGAACACCCAGGCTAGCACCTGAAGGAGACTTGAAGCTTCCCTATGGCAGCTAGAGGACGATGGAGCACTAACCTTGAATCAGGAAATACTGCTGCTAACAAGGAGGATGACGCCCCAGCACCTAGGGAAGCTGCCTATGAGCATTCTGAGTGGCTGGCTACGACTGCAACTTTGTAGAGAAAAGTGACCAGGGAGGTGAGGACCAGCCTCCAGGATGCCTCTGGACAACTCACTCCTGCTGATCTCATTAGCATCAGCTCAGCAGCTCACTGACGACTCCAGCTTCCTGTGCCCTCTTGATGGCAGAGCTGAGAAGCATCAGCCATGACTGCCTCCCAGCGGCCTGAGCTGTCATCGGCTTTTAAGGTGCCCAGAAGATCTCAGCAAGCAGAGACTATCTCAGACTTCCCCCAAGAGCCAATCCTGTAGCTGGGTGACTCAGCAGTAGACCAGTGTGGGGAGGGGGGATCTGGGGGAGTCATCTGGGGGGTAGAACTTGGGGGCCTGAGGGGTCAGCATTGATGATGACAGGAGTCCAAGCCAGGGTGCTGAGTCCCCAGAAAGTGTCCAGTGGTGGCGGCAGCGGCGGCAGCCCTGTGATCGAATGAATCCACAGTAATTCCATTAATGTCACTAACTCCTCCCGGTGGGTCTAGGCAAACAAATCCCTTACTTCAGGCTCCCTAAGAAGGCAGCCCCAAATGAGATCCAAATACAATAGCCAAGTGACCCCTCTTTCCTTGTATAAGGACTCACCCCACCCCCCCAAAGCACAAGCAATTACTCAGGAGCTTCCAGGATGACTCGGGTGGGGGTTTGCCTTTATTTCTTGTTGACTGGGGAGTGGGGAGGCTCAAGCACAAAGCTGATGCCAACATATCAGAGTGACACCCCCACACACACGCACACATGCAGAATACACGGATGCTCACTCCGGGTCAGCCACAGACTGACAGCCGTGCCCTCTGAAGGGAACTTCCCCGCCACTGTGAAAGCCCCTTGCCCTCATTTTTTATTAGTTTCAGGATCCACGCCCACCCCAGGTTGCCTTGTCGTTCTCAGTGACTGGATCTTTCCACACGCTGGGCTCTTGTGTTTTAAAAATCCTGTGGGTTCAAGAGCCCCACCCCAGTAAAAACATGCATCCCTTAGAGAGAGAGAGAGTGAGTGAGTGAAATCCACACAGGGTGCTGGAGCCGAGGCAGCATGCTTCAGAGATGTCCACCAGCTTGAGAGAGAAAGGCTGCCTTCTGGCACACTGCAGAGAGATGGGAGGCAGTGCTCGGCTTGTACGGTCCCGCAGTGTAGCCCTAGCCCTGACCAGTTTTAAACAATCCCAGCCAGGGCACCTTCACCTTCTTCCCTTGGTAAAAAAGACCAATGTGAGCTAACCAAGACCCCGTGAACCCGTCAAAGTGCTATTTTCTTCTTGCTCAGCTTCTATTCTGCCAAGCGGATTTCTGAGGCCTGAAGCTCCTACCCTCCCCTGTCCCCCAAACTGGGCTGCAGGCCTCCCTAGCAGCTTGTGGACCCCATGGAATGGGGTCTCTACAAGCCCCCCACTCTCCAGCCTCCCTGCGTCCTCCCAGCCTGGCCTCAGCTCTATCTCAGGATCTCTCCCCACAGTTTGATGCGGTGACCCGACTTGGCTTGTGACAGGGGAGTTGTCAGGTGCCTTTGCTCTCTGTCCTCTCCTCATCGGCCGTCTGGGCGTTGCTGACCGTGCGAAGCTGGCCCTGGGCCGCAGGCTTCACGGACAACACCAGGCGTTTCCGGAAGGTCTCACAGAGTACTATGTACACAAAGGGGTTGAGGCAGCTGTTGGCATAGCCCAAGCTGATGGCCGCATTGTACAAGTAGACAAAGGTGAGGGTCGGGCGGCTGATGGAGAGCTGGGTCAGCTGCAGCACGTAGTAGGGCGCCCAGCACACGAAGAAGACCAGGCAGATGGCAATGGCTGTGCGGGTCACCCTCTTTGTCCGAAGCCTGATGCTGCGCTGAGAGGCCGGGGCCACCGAAGACGTCATGCGCTGCAGTATTTTCACGTACGCAGCCGTGATGACCACGAAGGGCAGGGCAAAGGCCAGGAAGAACTGGTACAGAGTGAACCAGTAGAGGTCAGTGTCTGGGTTTGGCAGGCGGATGCCACAGCCTACGGCACCCCCGGGGAAGGGGATGAGTCTGGCGTAGAGCCACACGGGCGTGATGCTGATGAAAGAGAGAACCCACAGGAGGCAGATGACCAGGGTGGCCATGGAGGGCTTCCGGAATTTGGTGGAGGAGATGGGGTGGACGGTGGCCAGGTAGCGGTCGATGGCCATCGCGGTCAGGATGTAGGTGCTGGTGAACTGGCTGTTGGCGTCCATGGCGGTGATGAGGGTACACATGGTTTCCCCAAAGTGCCAGACCCCGTTGCCCATGAGCTGGTGGATCATGAAAGGCATGCCCAGGAGGAAGAGCAGGTCCACCACGGAGAGGTTGATGATGAAGATGTCAGGGACGTTGCTGCACCAGTGCAGCTTGGACTTCTTCACCACGGCGAAGATGACAGTGGAGTTTCCCACAATGCCCAGGAGACAGATGGTGCCGAACACGGAGGGCATAATGATGTTGATGTAGGAGACGCTGCCTGTGCGAGGAGGCGACCCTGAGGACAGAAAGAGCAAGTGTGACCCGCCCTCTGACCTAGGAAGCTGACAACCTGCCACCCGACAGCGCTCCGTCTGGCCACTCCTGCTCTCCGTTTCAGCTTGAGGTCACTGTGTATCTGGGATCTGGAATCGTCTCTCCCACCATCTTTCCTCCCCACGCTGTTGCTAGTTCTGTCTCTTACCCTCCTCCACTGTTCCCCGGGTGACTCTGACTGAATCTTCTAGACCCACCTGTTACTCAAAGGGCCCCATTCTTCACTTCGTCCATTCGCTCAGAGGGCCAGGAGCCGAGACTCCCAGAGGTCTGCTGAGAACGTCACATCCCTGGGACATTCCCCAGGAAACCTTGTCAAAAAAGCTTGAAGGACATTCAGGAATGTGTGTGTGTGTGTGTGTGTGTGTGTGTGTGTGTTTTCATTTGCAGCCTCATCCCAGAGAGAGCTGGCCAAAGGTTTTATTCATGTTCCTAGACAAATCAGAGAAGTGACTGTCACCATAGGTGTGGGGTGTGCTTCCAGCTCAACGGCCCTGCCCTCTCCAAGCTCTCTGTCAGGGATTTCCTTGGACTGTGCCTCCCGAGTCTGGGCTTCCCCGGTAGGGTAGAGACTGAAGCTGTTACAGCCCAGAAGCTTGAGAAATTTCACCACACCAACCTCCTCTCTTTCCCTTCCTTCCTTTTCTCCTTCAAAGCTAGAATTTCAGGGCATCGCCTTTCTGCAAATGTCGAGACGCTTAATTCACCAGAAAAGTTAATCCTCTCAAGCCCTGTGAAGTCTTTTGCTCCCAGCAGCCTCTGCCAGAGGACAGCAAGGACCGCTCAGACCCCATTACCCCAGTGCGAGGCCAGAGCATTGAGCCCAGGATAGCGGTGAATCAAAGAGCTTCTGCCGGCTCCCACATGCTACCCGCCTGCTCTCTTGCTTGCTTTTCCAGCCTTGATATTTTTTTTTCCCCTCTGCAAAGCATATACGGGACTCATCAGCAAGCCTTCCCCTGTCTGCTTCACGCCTCATCACCAGCCCTTGTAATTTCTAAATGTGCCTCTCTACCCCATCTCCATTCCTTCCTGCCCCCTCTGTCCTAGCTGGTGTCCCTTCCTCTCCTCCTCCCCTCCAGGCAAACCAGACTGCAGATCTTATCACCGGGAACTGTAAGATAAAGTTTCCCAGGCAGTTTGGCTCGGGAGGTTGAAACCTTCCCATTTTCCACACCCATCCCGGGAGGAGGGAGGACTCCAACTCGACTCACCCGCCAGTGTGAGATTATCCTGGCCATCGGAGATGTTGCTGGCATTGGGGCCAATGGACAGCAACGAGGCTTGCAGATCCATGCAGCCGGCGCAGGTCGCCTGCTCCCTGGAGTTAGGAACCAGTCCACCCACGCAGGCTGCGGCAGCCTCCAGCGCCCGCCACCGCCTTGTCCCGAGCGTGAGCCCTGCAGTCCAGAAAAGGGTCTTCCTCTGCCGGCTGGCAGCCGCTGCTGCCTTTGAGCCCAACCGCTCGCCCCACTCCCTCCTTCCCAGCTCCCACTGACATCACCTAGACACATTAACATTCGGAGGCAGATGCACGTTAACCTCTTCCGTGCTGGCTGCGGCTCCCACTGCTGATTGCCTGCAGAGCCAGCAGCTAGGCTCAAGCAGCCCCATGCGGAGGAGCCTTCCTTCTCGCGGGCTCCTGGGGCTGTCTCGTGGGCTCACAAGGGCTACCGCTTGCCTCGCTTGCCTCGCATGACCATCCAGGTCTCTGCAAAGGCAAGGGGGGCGGGGAAGCCTTGAGGAGGCTGAACCACGTGGCAGGAGCCAAGGGTACTGTTCCCAGTGCTGGGGCCTCAGAGGCTTAGACCAGAGCCTTGTAGGACCTTAGGTCCTCAAGCACACTGGAGGTCACCCCAAACCTTTCCTGTGCCCTGGGAGCTTCCAAACATCTCCTTGGCTAGGTGTCCATTGCTAGCCCTCGCCTGGTGGGCAGAGGCGGTTCCGGGCTTTCCATGATGGCAATAGTCAGGGGCTGGGGTGCAGAAGGACAAACCAGCCATGGAGGTTTTTCTTTTCTAGTGCTCTGAGGTTTTGTCTGGGAATCTCTGAGACAGTTATCAGAGCATAAGAGAAGGAGTCCACTCAGAGGTTAGCAATGGTCAGCAGCCACAGGGCACACAGCATTAGAGAATTTCCCTCAGAGCTTCCTGCTGACAGCTCCAGCAGACAGTCAAACGCTGTCACCACGCCAGGACCCGATGCAGAGTCTGAGTCCTTGAGTTGCCTGTTAAGTCTTATCAATTGGCACAGAGCGACATCCCTGCAGCTGCCCCGAGCTCCGGCCAGATGCTTCCTTGCCACCACTGGCCATCAGCATGCCTAGTTCTTTAGGCTGAGTTGTTGGTTATCCCTACCAGCTGTTAGAGCTCTTCTTTCTCCGCCTCTTGACCCACCAGCATGAAGAACTTGAATGAAGCCAGGTGAGGGCTGGGGATGTAGCTCAGTTGGTAGCACCTTGCCTCGCCAGCCAGCATGAAGCCCAGGGTTTCCTGCCCTGAACTGGTAAACCGGTCATGCCACTAATCCCAGCACTTAGGAGGTGGAGGCAGGAGGATGAGAATTTCAGGGCCTGCCCCTCCCCCTTCTCTCTCTCTCTCACACACAATCAGATGATAGTTAAGCCATAGGTGAAGTCAGCCCTTGGCTGGTGGGCAGAGGTGGTTCCGGGCACAGCCCAGAAGCTTGAGAATTTTCACCACACAAACCTTTTCTCTTCCCTTTCCTTCCTTTCTCCCTCAAAGGTAGAATTTCAGGGCATCGACTTTCTGCAAATGTTGAGACGCTTAATTCACCAGAAAAGTTGATCCTCTCAAGCCCTGTGAAGTCTTTTGCTCCCAGAAGCCTCTGCCAGAGGACAGCAAGGACCGCTCAGACCCCATTACCCCAATGGGAGGCCAGCGTTGAGTCCCTGGGCTGTTAACCCTTAACCATCAGATGATAGTTTAGCCACAGGTGCCTGGAAGGCTAGCCTATCTCTCACATGGTGTTAGTGGCGGTGTCTCTTGTGGTGTTAGCGGCGGGAACACTGTGGTGTCCTGAATGAAAATGTCCCCCATAAGCTCATTCACTTGAATACTTGGTCCTTGCTTTATTTAGCCTTGTTTGGGAAGAATTAGGTATGTCACTGGGGGTGGTTTTAGAGTTTTAAAAACCCATGCCTTTATTCCCAGTTAGCTCTCTCTGCTCCCAGGGTGGGTCTCTGCCTCAGCTCTCTCCAGCTATAGGGCAGATAAGACAAGAGAGCAGCCACCAACCCACGCAGGCTCCAGTCTTTCCTAGAACTCCTTACAAGACTGATGGAGTCCCCAGCAGGTCCCAGCACTGGGCATCAGCTCTCCCAGACAATGGGCTGCGCCCAGCTGGAGCCAGATCCTTGGAGCCCCTTGCCTCCAGCCATCCTCAGAGGGATGGAGAGGGACAAGGACCTCAGTTTAGTAGTGTGGTGGTCAAGCCTGCCCAGCCTGTCCCTACAGAAATCTCTGCGAATTCAGGGCCACAGAACTTGCAGGGTGTAAGCATCTAGCTGTTCCTGCTACCACCCTTTTGTTCTGCCATCATGGACTCTAACCCTCTGACCGTAAATCCAAATTGAACACTCTCTTTTCTAAGTTGCCTTGATAGTGATGTCTTAGGAGCAATAGAACACCAAGATAGATGTGCTCCGGGCTTCCCTAGAGGGCTAACACGTGTGTGCTTTGGCCTCGAATGGTAAATTCCACTCCAGCATCACACTTCTCGGAGTCTTCTGACTCCTTTCTCAAAACTCGGCCAAGCTGTTTGGTGGTGGCACACGCCTGTAATCCCAGCACTTGGGAGCTTGGGAAGCAGAGGCCGGTGGATCTCTGAGCTCAGGGCCAGCCTGGTCTACAGAGTGAGTTCAAAGATAGCCACCGCTACACAGAGAAAAAAAAAAAAAAACCTGTCTCAAAAAAACAATACAAAATAAAACAACAACAACAACGAAGCCTCTGCCAAGTATGAGAGGCCAGAGGAAAGGATCAGTGGCGAGGTATTATGAATGGGTACAGAGTTTCTGTGTGCAGTGGCGAAGCCCAGAAATAGATGGTGACGGCAGTTGAGCAACACTATATGTGGATTTAATACTGCTGATTTGACACAGACGGTTAAGGGAGTAGAGGGGGCCTCTGTGGTAGAACATCCTTGCCTGGCGTGTAAGAGGCCCTGGCTTCAGCCCTCAGCAACACATATGCAGAGTTAAAAGGGGCAGTGTTATATTATGTGCACTTTACCACGATGCTAAAAAAAGGTAGCGGTGAATTTATGTGTACTACCTAACAGCCACGTGAGGACCGCCCAATTCTGCCAAGGGAGCCCTAACACCTTCATCTTGTTACGGTAGGTTACTTCCTGGAGCCATCCCAGAACTCTTATTTCAGCACTGATTGGCTCCAGGTTTCCCTCCAGGTTGTTCTGTCCCATGTAACAGGAGCGTCCCTGCCAAGACACACTCTCCTTTCAAGTTTACATGCGTGCCATGCTCTGGCACCCTGAAGTTAATTCCTACACACGCACCCATTAGTTTTCTTCCATAATGAGAGAAGGCTGGTGTGGGGGGCCATATCTGAGAATGATAAATGCCCTCTTGCAGGCTGTAATCACAGTTGAATCCTATCACGATTTTCCAAACAAGGGCAGGCTGCTCTCCTTTCAAAAGGTGACGGGGGGAACCAGGCACGGTGGCTCATGCCTATAATCCCAGCACTCAGGGGAGAGGCAGAGATAGGTGGATCTCTGTGAGTTCGAGGCCAGTTTGGTCTACAAAGTGAGTCCAGGACAGCCAAGGCTACCTAGAGAAACCCTGTCTCTAAAAACAAAACAAAACAAAACAAAACAAAACAAAGGAGGAGGAGGAGACAGGGGAGGCAGTTGTACCTGCTGGTCTGGAGTGTCCAAGGAGCTGAAGGGATCTGTTTTCAAATTTGTCCAGATGTCCCCTCCTAGATTTCAGGGCTCCACTCCTCATCACTAAAGTGTCACCAAGGCTGTACCTATGCCATCTCTTTTGCGCCTCCGGCTACCCTGGCAATCAGATTCAGCAGACTGCTCTACCTCTGCATAAGGTGACATCATCCTTGAAATGCTGCTCCAGAAGCCTTTTGGCTTTCACTGTGTGTCCTGAATCTGAGTATCTGACCCCTCCATCTTCTTCTTCTTCTTCTTCTTTCTGGGCTTCCAAAGCAGTTCAGACTCCACACTTCCTTCAGGATTCTACTGAAAAGCTGCTCCCAGCAGCACCTCCTTTTCTACTTGTATCTATCTCAGTTGGCCACAGGCAGGACTCTCTGTCACTATGATGTCACTGCCAGGCCAGGGTCGGCCAGCATCTTGTCCACTACCAGCTTCAGTACACTTAGGGACATCTGACTGATCACTGATCTCGCCCGGCATCTTAGCTGAAGATCTGTCTTCAAGGCTGCGACTCCCAGAACTCATTTTCTCAGTTCGATTCCCTCTGGAAACAGTCTTTGACTCAGAGTTGTATGTGGAAATTTACTCTTGGTGTGAGTCTAAGGAACAGGAGTAAAGGAATAGAAGACAGAGAGTTTAGTTAAACGGTATAGCACTTAAGTAGCATGCACAAGCCCCTGGGTTCAATCCTCAGCATCACATATCCACGTATGGACCCACACACGCACACACCCACGCATGCACACACGCTGTCTCTGATGTACAGGAAGTTGATTTTATATTGACTGATCCTCGCTCTAATTGGTTCAGACTTCTCCTGAGACACTGAGCCTGCCCATCTGGACTGTTTACCCTAGAGCCAAAAGTCTCCAGTGTGTCAGAGGATTCTGGAGCAGAAAGCAAATAGACAGAAGGCAAGACACGACTGGCACAGGATGAATTGAGCTCATTCAATAAATAGCCCATTATAGCCGAAGCCGAAACTAGAGGTGGAGAATGTGACAAGGATTCCAGAGGCGTCTGGTAGGGACTGTTTTAGGGCTGGCCGTGTCTCCTGGCCACCCACATGCATCCTTTTAGATCCTCCTGGCTACTCCTTGCTCACCTGCCCACCACTTCTGCAGCACCCCCTCCTCGGTCCCCACAGAGTACAGGTGTCAGTGTGGCACAGCACACCAAGGGCCTCCTGGTGCTACAGTGCATCTCAGACCTGCAGTGTGTCCCTTTCCCCCTCAGTCCAGGGTGTTCTCCGTTTCTGCTACAGCTTAGGGAATGCGAACCCCAAAGTGTCCAACCAGGGACAGTTAATGCTCTTTGGGGTGCATCTTTGCTCAGTGTTGGATGAAGGTCACAGATAATCGCTCTCTCCTTGTTCCCTCAGGATGTGTCATCAGCTTTTGTTTTTGTTTGTTTGTTTTCGGTTCTTGGTTTTTCTAGACGGGGTTTCTCTGTGTAGCCTTGGCTTTCCTGGCCTCTCTTTGTAGACCAGGCTGGGCTCGAACTCACAGAGATCTGCCTGCCTCTGCCTCCCTATCAGAGACATTTTGAACAGTCTCTTGGCAGTCCATGGTCACTCAGCATGGTGTCAACAGGAAATCCTTCTGCCAGTGTCTCCTGCTGTCCTGCTTGCTCCCTTTACATTCCTGATTCCTAGGATCACACTTCCTGGTAAAATTCCCACATGTCCCTTTGTCTCTGACTTTTCTTTTTTTCTGGGAATCAAGAGAGTGTGTGACTCACTACTTACTAC